TTCCCTACAGATGACACACGAATGGTGGCCGGACACAAGAGACCCAGGGAGGGAAGAAAGGGGCTCAGACCCACACTCCCCACAACTTGGTCTCTCTGAGTCCCCCTGCGTCCCTCCCACAGGGCCCTGCCCACGCACTCAGCTCCTCAGAGAGAGAGGGGAAATCATAGATGTGCTCGCAGGTGTTCTTGCTGCTGGGGATGCAGAAGCCAAAGTGGAAGTCAAAGCTTTTGAGCAGCTGGTTGCGAAAGTAGTGCCTCTCGATCATGCGGAAGTTGTTGACAGGCTTGTCTCCCACCGTGAACTCCACGCTGAGTGAGAAGTGGGCGGGGCTGAGCTGGGACTCAGGAAGGGCTCCCTGCCACCCTCACCCGCACCTCAGCCCCCACCCCTCGCCCTCACCCCGGCCCAGTGACTCACGTGGCTCCCACCTGCCTCAGGCGGAGGAAGGCAGGCGTGAACTGGTAGCGGACAAAGCGCCCAGCATTGGGGTCCAGGTCCCGTGGGTTGATGGGCAACTGCTCTGTAATGCACCCCAGCTGGGGCTCAGTGGGCTTCAGGCTGGGGCCCATGCCCACCCGGGCTTTCACCCCAGGGCCCTCATCTGTCTGAATTTTTCAAAACTCCTCAGGAGATCCTGATGTATATTGAGGGTTCAGACCACTGGCTGCATGCTTCCAATTGCTTCCAACTGGTCAGCGGGTCACCAATTTCAACTGAGATTCCCTGAGCCGCAAGAGACAAAAAAGACCTGGGGCCTCTGGGACTGCAGTTCCCAAGGGGGCCTGCAGGGGGCAGGCTGGCAGGGACCGAAGAGGCAGGATTGTCTTCCCAAGATGTCTAACCCCAGGAGCACAGGGAAGGAAAAGAAGAGGCCCCAGCCCCAGGCAGAGGCCCCCCTGCCTGGTGTCTCCTGAGAAGGCCTGGGTGCAAATCCCAGCTCTGCTCTGACTCCTCTGTAGCCTGAGGAGTCCCTGGGCAGCCCATTTCACAGCCCTCGCCCACCTCCCTCTGTCGATGGCCCACCCAACCCACTCACCTGAGGCTGGGGGCTTCTTGATTTCAAAGAGAACAGTGCCTGAATCCATGTCCCGAATCTTGAACCTGACGAAGTCAATCTTGTAGATATTCTCCTCAGGGGAGCACAGGTAGTCTAGGGGAGACGGGCGGCTGAGCAAGGAAGGGGCCTGCCCAGAAGCCCCTGCTGCCAACTCAGCTTTAGTGGAAGCCTGAACTAGCTACCACCTTCCCTGCTCCTAAGGTCACTGCCTTGCAGAAAGAGAGAATTGAGCCCCCACCCTGGGGGAGCCCCCATAGTGTGCGGGAGACATAGCTCTGCCATTGGGATCTAACAGGAGACAAATGGTTCCATCCTGGTAGCCTCTGGGGTCAGGGAGGGGCAGGGTGGAGGACAAGGTCACCTCACCAACACTTTGCTGCCCACCCAGGGGTTGAGGGCCCTTATTCCAGCCCCTGCTTTGCCAGGACTGGCTCGGTGACGTTTAACCAAATGAGTCTCTAATCTGATGGGGAGCCCTTCCCCCGCCACCATGAGAGGGAAGATAGAGCCCTGCTTTTAGTAGTCTTTTTTTTTTTTTTCTGTACGCGGGCCGCTCACTGTTGTGACCTCTCCCGTTGCGGAGCACAGGCTCCCGACGCGCAGGCTCAGCAGCCATGGCTCACGGGCCCAGCCGCTCCGCGGCATGTGGGATCTTCCCGGAGTGGGGCACGAACCCGTGTCCCCTGCATCGGCAGGCGGACTCTCAACCACTGCGCCACCAGGGAAGCCCGAGCCCTGATTTTAGGAACCTCACTCTTAACAGGGCTGACACAGCTCTACCTCGGGAGAGGATGCCCCCGCCCCCACCCCATAGCCACCCCTGGCACACATCTAGGTGTGTCAAACAAGGACCTTCTCTGACCTGGGTAGTGCTGGGGCAAGGGAACAACCCCTTCCCTATCCCTCCTCACCCCCAACCCCGCCCCTCCTCTCCCCATAAGAAGCTTACACAAACCCAGCTCCCTTAAGCAGCTTAGCCAAAGCTCTGCTGACTCAAGCCCAGAGCCTGGAATATTGGGGGGAAGGGAGCCACCTTTGCTCCCATCCCTGTTGATCTTCAAGCAGGAGGAGGTCTTAGCAAACAGAGGGAACCCCCTCAAAGGTCATCCATCCAGCCTTGATGCTGAGCCACCCCCAGAGAGAAGAGTACAGGCAAGGCCAGTAAGAGGGTGTGGCAGGTGCATCGGGGGTGTGCATGGGGTAAGGGGAGTCCTCAAGCCCAGAAGAGGAACCAGGAATAGTGGTGGGCCCTGCTTGAGGAAGCTTGGAAATAGCAGGGCCTGATTCAACCCTCACCGCTCTTGCAGCAGCAACTGCAAGCACTCAAGGAGGCCCTGGCAGCAAATAGGAAGGAACAGAGAGGTGCAGTGGGGGCTCTGGTGCTGTCAGCCTGCATAGCATCACATCCTCCACGTAGAGGCCCGGAAATCACCCTCCAGGTCCCTAGACCACCTCTTATTCCTCTGGGGCAGGAAGAGGAAGTGAATGTAAAGTCATTCTCTCTCCCTCAAGCCTGGGGCAGCCCCCTCCAGGAAGCCCTCCTGGTAGCCACCTGGCACCTTGCGGTCCAGCAGGGACTACACAGGGCTTGTGGACGGGCCTGAGCCCTGGCCTGCCCATCACAGCCCATGGTGGTGAGAGGAGAGGAGGAGGAATGGAAGTAGGCAACTCCTACCTCACCCTGTACACACCTTATTTTCACAGAAAGTAAGCACTAATCCAAAGATGTAGAAGGAGGTGCGGGGCATAAGGAGAGGATGTGGCAGAACTGGGAACAGCATCCTAGTTGCCCAACTCCCAGCTCCCCATAAAGCCCTCCTTCCTCCCCCATTCTCTAACTTCTGGAGCCTCTCCTCTCATTTGAGAACAACTTGCAGTATGACCTCAGTCTATTCTACCGCAAACTCAATCTATCAACTCCTCTGTCCTTAGAGGAAGTGAGGAACCGGAGAGGCCCATGGCTCAGGACACCACCTCCACTCCCTCCCTCTGCTAGAGAAGGATGAGGCCTGGGACCCAGGGTCAGGCCAGATAAGGGGCAGACTGGCCGAGGGCTCAGCCACAAATAGCTTCCTAAGCTGGATTCAGGGCTGAGTAATCCAGGAACAAAAAACCTCAGACCTGTGCAATTAAGGTCAGAAGAGACCAGGCAGGGGTGTCAGTGGGGAGAGTCCTGGAGGCCTGTTCTCAACTTTTACGACAGAAAGGGCTCCTGTGAAGACTCTTCCTCTGCTCATCTACCGCAGATGCCGCATCCCTAAGGGCTATAAATTTCCTCCAAATTCAGAGACACAAGGTTGTACATGGGTCGGAAGCCCCCACAGTTGCAAAATAACCTCTAAAGTTACCTAGGACCTGGACAAGTTAGACACCCTATAAGGAAGTTCTGCCCCAGAGCTAACCTGAATCCTAAATGCTGCTGTTGCCAATTACAGCCCAATTGGCACCAACATCGGACTGGCCCAGGCCCCCTCCCTCTACCAGTGCCTGCTTGGGTAAGGCAGCTCAGCGCTCTGGGGGCCTAGCCAAGAATGGTTGCTGCCTGGCTCAGAGAGACGGGAGATGCTGGTCCCCCGAGGACCCAGACGCACAGGCCTAGACCTGCCATCATGGTCTCCTCCACAGCTCTGTTTGGAAGCCCTGGGCTCTGCTGCTCCTGCAGCTCCAGAGCTCAGGTCCACTCCAGCATCTGCCCCCTACCCCCACAGGGGAGCCCCAAGAGTTGCTCTCTCAGAGGGAGCTGCGGCAGGGTTACTAATCAATGAGGCCAAGGTAGTAGGCCACTCCAAACGCCTTCTGTTCTTTGAGGCTCAGCCACTGCCTCTGCCATGAGACTTTCCAGTCCTTGTTCCCTGCCTATGATGACCCCCTCCCCTGCCCTGAATGCCCAGTTGTCTGCCTCTAGGCAGCAGCCATGAGCAGTCCTGTGGGGCCCTCAGTACTATTGATAAAAGAGCCCTATTTACAGGGCATGCACAGCATGCCAGGCATGGTGCAAAATCAGAGGATTTATTTTCACAACAGCTCTGCAAGGTAGGTATCATTATCCCCGTTTTACAGATGAATATGCTCAGAGAGGTGAAGTTATCAGCCCAAGGTCACACAGTCAATTACATGGCAAAGTTGGAACTTCAACTTAGGCAGTCCAGCTCAGAAACTCAACCACAGTGGAGACCTGGCCTCCCAAAACAGGACAGGCCCTAGTCCAGGCTAAGGGTGGGCATTAACCCACTCCCTTGAGAGCTCCCAGAGCCAACCCACTGAAGCTTCCTCCTCAGGCCCTTTCCTGGGAAGGAGGATGGCCCCAGACTTCCTGGGGTGTCCAGGGTGAAGGCATTAATGGTCGGGGAGAACTGAGGGTTTTGATACCACCCTAGTAACTCAGCCTCCACTTAGCCTCCAGGGTGGAGGAGACTGAGGGTAGACTGCACTCAGCCCCCTTCCTCATTATTGCAGAGAAAATCTTCAAAGGGCTCTGAAGACACTGTGGGGAAGGGGTCACAGTTGCAGGTGTTGCTCCACTTCCACCTGGGAAAGGGGGATGGACTCCTCAAAAAGGAAGGAGTGGGGTGGAAATAAATCTCTAAAGGGACAAGAGGGGCGCAGAGAGAGATCAAGGGAAGGGGGAACATGAGATCTCAGGCCTGGAGGCAGACGTGGAGGGGGACTCTGGTGGGGGAGGGGAGGCGGGGGGAGGGCGGGAAAGGGGGCGGGGGCCCGGGC